CTCACTCTAGCCACCGACCTCCCTGTGAGCAAAGCATTGTCATGTGAACAAAACCAGCCCCTATTTCTCTGACACCCTGTGAGTTGAATCTTCTGTTATATGCATTTGACCTCATTCCTAATGGATATGAGGTTTCTAAAGGTCTAGAATTCTAAATACTTACTGAAGACTAATAATGTATAAAGCACTGTGTACGGTGCACAGATATTGTTAAATTTAGCCCTGCCTTCCAGGAATGCACAGCACTGGGAGGAGAAGAGCTCAAGTTCCATGGGCATGTTGCATTCTTTGTGAAGTCAGAATGGTTTGAATCCAGGCTCTATAACCTTGAGTGAGCTCCTAAGCTTGGTAATCTCATTCACAAAATGTGGGAAAGAATGCATTCCTTATTGTGAACTGATGTGTGGAGAGTGAGAGTTAATCTTTTTTAAATTTTGTTTTTTAAATTAAATTTGTTGGGGTGACATTGGTTAATAAGAGCATATAGTTTTCAAGTGTACATTTCTATGATATGTGATCTATATATTGCATTGTATGCCCACCAACCAAAGTCAAATCATCTTCTGTCACCATATATTTGGTCCCCTTTACCTTCCCTCTGATAACCACCATACTGTTGTCTGTGTCTATGAGTTTCAGTTTTATATCCCACATATGAATGAAATCATATAGTTCTTAGCTTTTTCTGACTGACTTATTTCACTTAGCATAATATTCACAAGGTCCATCCGTGTTGTTGCAAATGGCAGTATTTCATTTTTTCTTATGTCTGAGTAGTATGCCATTTGTCTTAGAGAAGATTTATGAATCTAACCCCAAAGGTAAGGAAAGTAAAGGGAAAAATAAATGAATGGGACTATATCAAACTAATAAGTTTCTGCACAACCAAACAAGCCGCTAACAAAACAAAAAAGGAACCAATCAATGAGAGATATTTGCAAACAACAGCTCCAACAAGGGGTTAATATCCAAAATACTGTATAAAGAACTCATACAACTCAACACTAAACAAACAATGCAATGAAAAAAATGGGCAGAGGACCTGAACAGACACTTCTCCCAAGACATACAAATGGTCAACAGATAAATGAAAAGATGCTCAACTTCATTAGCTATTAGGGAAATGTAAATCAAAACTATGAGATGCCATCTCACACCTTTAGAATGGCTATAGTCAACAAGACAGATAATAGCAAGTGTTGGAGAAGTTGTGGAGAAAAAGGAACCCTCATTCACTGCTGGTAGGAATGGAAATTGGTACAGCCACTATGGAAAACAGTATGATGATTCCTCAAAAAATTAAGAATAGGGTTATGTATGACCCAGCAATCCCTCTTCTGGGCATTCACCTGAAAAATTTGAAAACACTTATTCGCAAAGATATATGCACCCCTATGTTCATTGCAGCATTATTCATGATGGCTACGACACGGAAACAAATGAAATATCATTCAATAGATGATCGGATAAAAAAGATGTAGTACATATATCCAATGTATTTTTTTCAATCTTACTTTTAAGTCACACTAAAGGGAACCACGGTATACAGGAAATCTCATCATCTGGTTCAGATTTCCCAACTTCTCTTGATTGAACATTCATCTCATGTTTATCTGAACTTCATTCCTCAAGTACAAGCACATACTTTGAGCTGGATGCCGGAGACATCCAGAGATAAAGACAGCTCTCCTTGCAAACACTCAAGAGATAGTGAGATAATTACAATGTGATTGGTGTATCCACTGTAGTGTTTTTCCAGCTGAGTTGGAAGACAAGTGAAGACAAGTAAAGGATAGTCAGGCGAGCAGATGCTGTAAGACATAGGCCTGATGCTGAGAGAGTGGAGAAGGTTTTAACCCACATGGTTTCCCAGAGTGCAAATAGGGGCTACGGCAAAGACATGGGGCATAGAATGCCTCCCAGTTTAAATATCTTAATGATTTAAAAATGAGGATGTCTACATGTGACCAGATCTATGTTTTAGAATATTTACTTGGAGGACTGTGGAAACTGAATTGGGTTTAAGAAATTTGGGGGCAAAAAGTAAGTCAGAAGGCTAACTGCTATTGCTATCATCACAGGAAAATGTCTAAGGGTATGAATAAAGACAATGGGAGTGGAAAACGAGAAGAAACTCTGCCTTAAATTCCAGTCTTTTCTATGCACTGAAAACAAACAAACAAAATAAAACAAAAACAACAAACAAAACCTCTCACATTTTCCTCTATCTCATGTATTTTCTATGAATCCAGAAGTAATTAGTTAGCACTAATTAATAGGTACGGTGCCTTATAAATTTACTAACACTAATTATTGTCATGAAAATTTCAAAGCATTTCTTTTCCTAGCCTTCTTTTCCTATGTTCATCGGAGCACTTTGCATCATTAACTGATTCTATCTTCTCAAAACTATTTTCCCCCAATATGTGCCGCAACCCTTTGCTCTCCCCACACGGCCCTGTGTCACTCTAGCGGTTCCTCCTGTCTCTTTCGTTAGTTCTTTCCTGACAAAGAAACTGTTCCTTTTCTTGTTCTGTGTTCTGTGCATGTGCTAGAGGTGTTGAGCTTTGTTTGTTTCCTCTTATTTTTGGCCGCTGCTGTTCTCTTTCAATCTGATACCTCAACTTACTCTTCACATTACAATTTAATTATCATGATAGAATATAAATATCTCTCTCCTTGTCTTAATTTCTCAATATTTTTTCAAGACCCATTTTCTTCTTTTTTAAAAAAAAGAAATATATTTTTATTGATTTCAAAAAGAAAGGAAAAGGAGGAGAGAGTTAGAAACATCAACAACGAGAGAGAATCATTGATCAGATGCCTCCCTCAACAGGGGCACATGCCCTGACTGGGAAATTGAACCCATGATCTCTTGGTTCCTAAGTTGAAGCTCAACCACTGAGCCACACGGGGCAGGGCAAGACTCATTTTCAAAGTAACTTTGAGGACCTGCTTCAGTGGCTTGCTGACAGCATACATCTCTCTTACACAGCATCCCCAGGCAGCCTTCCCTACTGAGCCAGTTGCCTTCCTCCTGTGTCCTGTAAGCAGCAAAAAAAAGTACACAAAGGTCACCTCCCCAGCTCTTAGATTTCCTTGTTCAGGAAAATAAATGCCAATAAATGCCAACGGGTATTAAGCTTACAGAAAATAAAATTGAAGCCTGAGGGTGAAAACATGAAAAAAAGGGAGACAAAGAAAAAAAAAGAAAAAAGTGACCGGATCATCAGTATAGCCCTGGCTGAGTGCATCTCAGCACACAGCTCCCACTCAAGTTCCTGGAGGACAGGGAACCTCCGTCCCGCACTGAACTCCGAGCTCTGAAGCAAGTATGATTCAACGGGTAAGCATTCCATTGAACCCACAATTCACCAGGCTGACAGCGACCTGGAAGTCCCGTGCAAGTGAACGATGCACATTCTTGCGGGGCGCTCTCAAGATGACAGGCAGCCTATCCTGATCTGTAACAAAAGTGCCAACAGGGTTCTTAAAGAACCAGCCGTGAAAAATGACAGATTCAAGTTTGTCAAAAACACAACCAAAGTGAAAAACAGTGGTGTTACTTAACTCGGCTCCCCCCATTCCCCACTCCGAAGGCCGTGAGCTCAGAATTCAGACAAAAAAAGTAGACTGGGACAAAAGAGCAACATCCTTAAACTTTTGCTTTGTTTGCCTTTTTCTTTCTTATTTCGGGGGAGGAGAGTGGAAGTGGAGGGGAGGCGGTCAGGGAGTGGAGAACCCGGTCGCAGGAGGGGAAAACGAAGCTCCCAATCCTCTTCTCCCACGTCCTTTTACGAAGGTGGTCTTTAGCGCCCTGAAGGAAAAGATTTTTTTTAATTTTTATTTTATTTTTTCAATGACAGTTGACATCCAATATTATGTTGTATTCATTTCAGGCATACAGCATAGCGGTTGACAATCATCTGCTTTACAAAGTGTCTCCCCATCTCCCCCCTATCTCCAGTCCCCACCTGGCACCATACATCGTTATCACAATAGGAGCGATTGGAGGGCAATCCTTTTCAGAAATAACCTTTCTGTTTTCCCTGTCCGCTCGCGGCCAGCAGCGCAGCCAGAGGTGGAGGAAAGGCTGTGACCTGGGTTCAGCGGAGAGTCAGGAAGGCAAAGATCGCGCGCAGCGCTCCAGGGCAAGGTGACACAGCCCTGGGTGCCCTGGCGCTGGCTTGACAGTTTCCTCCCCGCCCACTCGCAGGAGGGCGCCGGCCTGGGTGCAGGCGCGCGCCCGGGAACATAAAAGCTGCGGAGGCGCGGAGACGCCTAGCAGCG